TTGAGACAGGGTCTCCCTGTAGCCCCAGCTGTCCTGGAACTCACTATGTAGACCAGGCCAGCCTTGAATTCACAAAGCATCTTGAGTGCTGTGATTAAAGGCGTGTGCCACCACACCTGGCTCAGATTAATCTTTTTATAAATTTTTAATTAGAAGCATTTAACTAGACAGTCACATAAGAAGGTCAACTTATTCATGTAAATGCTAACAAACTGCAGAGAGAAAGAGGAGGGAAGAGGGAAGAAGGGGAAGAAGGGGGGAAGGATGGAATAAAACAGAAATGAAAGAATGGAAGAATTAATAACCTCTGGAAGAAAACCACAATGTGAAAAACTAAGGCACCCATTTTATAAAGTGCCTTATTAGCTCCTTTAGGCATTATTTTTTTTCAGCATATATTCTAGTGGAATTATAACAATTCAAGTCAAAATTCTTACCTAAACACATTTAGCAGAATTATTTTGCATGTAGTAAAAATTACAATCTCCCATCATTATATAGAATTAACTAACTGCTAAAAGACTCCATGTTTGACAAGATGAGAAAAATGAAATCTAATAATAAAACAGTTAATTTTATATATCACACATAAAATACAAGTGTTTAGAGAAATTTTAACTTCTGTATTCATGTTTCCATATACCTCCATAAATTAATTTATGAGTTTAAATACCATAAAGATTTTCTTATAATTTGAACACATTTAAAAAAGTTTTAATGAACTTAATATTTATAATGTGTTGGAAAGTCATCCTTTATTTACATAAATAAAATAAAACAAGACACGCAGTCATTGCTAGCAAAGTGGCCACTGTGTTTTCTAGTAACTGAATCTACCCCTCAGTGCTCCTGAATACTTCTGTCAGAGAAGAGGGGACTTTTATGTCATAAAGAAGAGGGGTATTTTATACTATAAAATTCAAAGATGACAAAGCACACATGAAATAATGAAATTTAATGACTGTCCAATTTTTTTTCTAACCAAAATCTATGCTGCTAAGGTTGAAACCTGTCAAATGGAAATATCTGGATTGTGAGATGCTTTATTTCCATGGATAAATTAATGACTCCTAAATTTATAATTCTAGCAGTTTTCTTTCCTGTCTAAATGCCTACTCAATATAATGTTGAATTATACTAACACCCCAAGTCCAACTCAGAGGTGACCTTTAAAGCATAGTTCTCTCATCACATTCCCTTCAATTAATTTCAAACTCCATACACAGCATCTTGTCAGTTCATTCTCTTCCTCTAGAAAATTAATAAAGCACCTTCACTACTATTTTTATAATCTGAACAACCATGATAAGAAACCTGGACTGTCTAATCTAACTGATTCCCAGGCATCCACCTTCACACTGCCTTTTTTTTTTGGTACAGAATGATCCCTTTAAACAAGGTAGGTCACACAATCAATATTTTTTATTCATTGTACTGGACTTAACTTCAAATTTCTGACCATGTCTTACCTTCCTCAGCTCAACTCTTAGTAGTGTTCCTACTTCTCACCGAGTCATAATTTTCTTTTCCTTGAATATAGTCAACTTTTTTCTTTTTACTATATTCTCAGATCATTGCATTACTGTTACTCAGTGCTCTTATTCCTCATGAGTGTTAGGTACATAATATTTTCTCCTATCTTCCATTAATTTCTAATTGTCCGTTGTCTTACTATGCATCACTTAACATCACCTAATATATTTATATATATATGCATAACTTTTATTAAATGTAAGATAGAAAAATATACATATAACTAGGTGGCACCCAACATCTCCTTGTGTGTTGCTTATCTGTGTAATATGCTTGCTCCTACTAGATCCAAAGTCTCAGAAAAGAGAGACTTTTTTTTTTTTTTTGAGACAAGGTCTCCCTACAGCCCCAAATGGCCTGGAATTTGTTATGTGTAACAGGCTGATATTGGTTTCCCAGATATCTCAGAGATCTGCCTGCCTCTGCCTCCAGAGTGTAGGGATGCAACGTGCCTGGATGAAAGACATGTTTTAACTATCTTTTATTTTAAGCACACAGAAAAATGCCAGATATCTCACAGTATGTGATTAATAAATATTTGCATGAAATTAAATATTGAGTATCAGCATAATACATGCACATATTCTCTGACTTAAAAAGTTCCTTAATCTGATATTTCCTCTAAGTATGCTCCATTTTCTTATTGGCTATTTTCATAGTCTCTACTTCATTGAATTCCATACTCTCCTTAATTACCCAATTAGACTATGAGCAAATAAAATAATAATGGTAAAATCTCATATTTAATTTAAAACATCATTGGGTAGTAGTGATTGCATACCATCTTTGTAGCTTTTGAATAGGGCATTATTGCTTAGCTTACTGTTGTACTGGGCAGGTCTCAGTGTTTTCAGTGGGTTGTTCATGCTCTTCCTGACTTCCAACTTTGGAAAGAATCCAATGTTGACCCCCCTTCCGATTGAGCTGTATCAGCCATCCCTTTCCTTGAAATTAGTTTAACTTTTTGAACAGTCAATTTATAAGTCTGTCAATATTTCATTTCCACTTACATATATCCAAGAAAATATCTCATTTAAAAAATTTAATATTGCATTTACTGCCAAGCATGATATGTTACCAATGATTCTATTTTCTTTTAAAAGATATCTTATTTACTATTTTTATTTTCTATGTGTGAGTGTATTGCATGCATGTATGTAAGTGCATAAGTGTCGTGCAATGCTTGCAGAGGTCAGAAGACAGTGTAGAATCCCCTGGAACTGGAGTTATGGACAGGTTTTAGCCACTATGTGAGTGCTGGGAATCAAATTCAGGTCCTCTGCAAGAGCAGAGCACTCTCTACTACTGAGCCCACTCTCCAAATCCAGGATTGTTTTTTTTAACTCAAAGTGTTTTTCCTTGCTTTCCTACCCATACTTTTAAATATTTATTGCTTAATATTTCTCAAACATATCTCATCTCTACTGCCATTATCAACTGCACAGACTACCATCACCCACATGTAACTGAAATCATATGACATTTATACTCCAAGTCTTTCAATGATTGTGAATTAACTTCATGCTATCGTCTTAACACATTCAGCGTATTCCTGACACTGACTTCCTTGCGCTTTCTTGAATGGTTGGTCCTTGAATGGTTCTTAGATGGTTGGTTTCTTATGCAGGATATACAACTCTGTATGAATGTGTATGGTGTGTGTGGGCATGAATCTGGAAGCCAGAGTATCTGATGTCTTTCTCAGTAACTCATCACATTAATTTTTCAGACAGGGTCCCTCACCAAATCTCATTGGGAACAGCGCTGGGATTACAGGCTTGTTCCACTTCACCTAGGTCACATATGTTTTATTATTAATCATTATTGCATCAGAGAAATTTAAAGTCAGCAACACTCAAAGGTCCTATTCGGCTTTTATTGAGTATGTCTGAAAAATTTCTACTTTTTCAAATCAATTCATGTAGAATTTGCCACATGGAATGGTCTTTAGACAAAACTGAATCCAACACTTTCCAAAGATAGATTAAAAACAAACAAACAAAACCTATGATCCTATGACCTCGGAGGCCAAATCATTTAATATAGGTCACACAGCTAACAAGTTTATATTAGTTATTTTCTGTGATATGGCCTCATTTACAGCTTTGGTCATTGTATTTTTTTTCCACAAATCACTTTATAAACCACAAGGAAATTCATCATACTCAAACATCCTCTCTTGAGAAAATTTTTAGTATGAATAATAATATTTTTCTGAAATCCTGTATTTTATCCCATTGTTATTTGTCACACCTTCTTAATTAAAACACAGCTTAGTCATTTATCTGGATAAACTCTCTTTAATTTAAAATAAAAATAATCTGTAATTAAAATGAGTCTTCTTTTTTGGTCTTTATGAGACATGGTCTCTCTGTAGCCACCTCTAGCTTAGAACACACTATATAGACCATGCTGGCCTTGATCTTACATGGATCCACCTGCCTCTGCCTCCAGAGTGCTGAGATGAAAGAAATGTGACACCACACATGGCCAAGATAGTGCATCTGGGATAGCAGAAAGTGTCTTTGGTTATGTTCTGCTTCTCAGTTCTTGGCAGTGCATTTTTCCTGCTCATCCTCTGAAACTGTCACATTGTACTTACCTCCAGTGTGAAATGGAGGGTACAAAATAGCATCCTCTGGGGAAGCAGTGCTCCTATAGCACATTGAACATGGATGTTCTTTCAGAAAGACACTTTCATTTTTTTGTTAGTTTGTTTTACGTTTTTTTGTTTTGTTTTGTTTTGTTTGTTTGTTTTTTCCCTTTGGTGCAGTTATATCTTTGAGCCATTCCATACCTTCTGCCTTCTGTGAGGAATTCTGTGCACCAATGCAGGGTACCTCTGTAAGACTTCCTTTTCTAAAAATATTGTTTTGAATGCTGGGTGTGGTGGTGCAGGCCTTTATTCTCTTTGGAGAGGCAGGCAGAACTCTGTGAGATTGAGACCCGCCAGGACTTCACAGTGAGTTCGAGGCCAGCTGGTTGTACATCAAGGAGACCTTGTCTCAAAAAATGAAATTAAGAATAAAAATAACATTTTGAATTTACATTACTAATAGAGTTCCATAAGGCTTTTAATACAACTATAGGTTTGCTTAACTCAAATTTCTCCCTCTTCCCCTACCACCATCTCATTTAAACTTTTTTTGTGTGTGTGCAATTGTCTGAAGTTTCTATTACCTTGCTCTGGAGAAAGCAGGGCAAGGCCCAAACCACTCCAAAACAGTTCTGGAAAGCACTGTAGGAATGCACAGGGTCCCGGCAGACCCAAGCACGCAGGAGGCTGGCTACATCTCACTTAAGCTTTTAATCCTCAGTATCCCTTGCTTATTTGTTTTTTCATTACCTATCGTGTGTGTTCTATTAACCCCTTCAATTATAATTTTTGATTGGGTTGTGAGATAGTAGGTTTCTGTATGTCGTTTCTGGAACATAATCATTCAGTTAGAGAGATGATAGCGAAGTTCACCAATACATTCAGAGATTTTTTTTTTTTTTACTTTAAACTAAAAGTTTATTAATATCTTTGTATACCACTTAAGACATACCGTGTTTTAAAATAATGTGTTGTTGTCCTGGCAGGATGGCTCAGCTGGTAAAAGTGCTTGTCACACAAGCCACAGTATATCAGTTTGATACTGTGACCCTACAGTGCAGGGAGGAGCCTGCTCCTGAAATCCTCCTCTACTCTCCACCTCTAGACTGAGGTACAGGTGTGTGCCAACTCTCTCTCTTTCTGTGTCTTTCTCTCTCTCTCACACATGCACACACACACGTACACAGAATAATTTTTCATACTATAAAATAGATTAATAAAATTAAAATAATTTCTTTGAAAATATTCATATTCATTGACATTTAGATTTGTAGATGATCAGAGAGCATTTGCAGTGTGTTCTTCCAAATAGGGTTCTGCCAAATAGAACTTTAGGAAATTATGCTGCTCAAAGAAGATACTGTAATATTTAGGAAAATTAAAGTAACTGCTAAATATAATTCTACACAATAAAATTTACTTTGACAGACTGATTTAAGTCATTTATGAAGTGTACTATGATTAATTAGGATAAGCAAAATACTTAATTTTATTTGTTCCACGTAGTACTTAGCATTACTTTTGGGATTGATATATAGTCTTTAAAGTTCAGTTGTGTCATTGTTTTTACGAATTTTTATTTATAAAGAACATAGTGTAATTAGTTGTGCGCACAAACAGCTATCCAACCTACTTTTTGATCATATCTAATAATGTTAGAAAATAAAAATTTAAATATTGGCATTAAGATTAATTTTCATGTAGATAATTTTTAAATGCTGTGTGTAACCATAAAAATGACTTTCACAAACAACCAGAAAATGCTTGAATATTTTTCCCTAAGGAAAATATTCAATCCCAACCAATTAGCTGTTTTCAAAGTGGAGGGATTTGAATGTCACGTATGAACACAGGTTCCTTTTTAATCCTGTCATGTTCACTTTAATTTTGTCATGTCTGCAGAGTTGCACAAAGAGATAGATAGCTATGTTGAAAAACTATCACAGAACAAAAGCTTTCCAACATTATGGAATGTGCCTTTCTTTTGATTTTGTGGTGCCAAGAATTGAACAAGGGGCCTCACGTAGATCCTAGGCACGTGTTCTGCCCAGCCCTTAGTTGGATTCTTGAGCAGTATCTCACATCTATGAATTTATGTGTCGTTACTCTGTTGTTTGATTCTTTGGTTCCTTGCCATACCTTCTCATTTAGGGAAGTAGTGCTGATGATAATACTTAATATTTCACTAACTTCTTGTGAGATTTACGTGGGAAAATGCATGTAAAAATGTAATATAATGCCCAGTACATAAAAAACAGAACAAATTTTAATTTTTACACTTTAATTTCATAATTTTAATCACACTCCTCAATATAAGGACATAGTGAATTTTTAAAGATACAGCTGTTTGATTTTTATAAAAATTCTGTTTTATTTTTATACATTGTTATCACTGGAAAATCTATGGAGAAACTATTCTAAAAGCATTCATATCATATGCGCAGGATTTGAATGATTAAGGTAAACATATTCAAGAGCTGGGCTAATTTAGCATCTCATTCCAGTATGTCTGTTGAAGAGAATCAGTCTTTAGCGTGAAAAAACAGAGGATTGTGAATAAATGACTTAATTTTGAAGCTCCTTTTACCACACAGAAAACACTAGACTTTGACATTTTATTTTTTGTTGATTCACCAGTGACATTTGATAAATAGACCTGATGTCAGAAACAATATACAAAACACCAAAACTGATAGAAGTGGATTTAAAAATCCACTGAAGAAGCATTACCATACAAGATAATCAAGGATAAATGATTAGATGGGGGGGAAATGCCACGTGTATAATGCCTAGGTGATAAAATCAAGTTACAAAGATTTTTTTTTAAACACGTTAAAAACATGCAGTGAGAAAAAAAAATGTATGGAGTGGTTTTGAGGAGATGAAGGTAAGGATGGGAACTGAACACTTTCTGCTTTCCTTGTCATCTAATCTTTGGTTAACTCCAGCTTACACTTATTTAACCCTGAAAGATGTATGCTATTATTCTACTGAATTTGTATTTGATGAAAAAATTTCAGGAAAATTACATGATTTTTTCCGAGTCATGATGTTCTGACTAGTTCTTGTGACCATAGTCATATAATTATCTAATTTAGAATAGAATTCCAAACATCATTCTAAGTGGTTAATAAGCCTGAGTTATTTTAGAGATGTTAATATTTACCATGACACTAATTCTCGCAGTTTGTTGTCCTAGCAGGGTTGTGCTGAATGAAGGAACACATGAGCTTCCGAATTCTCAGCATATCTTTACTACCTTCTTTTTTTCAAGAACTATGGCATACATTTTTTATCTTCCTTACAATCATACATCACAGAAAGATTGATAATATGAATATGGAGGGAAGACAGAGATAGCAGATGGATGGAAGGTGCAGATAGGAAAGAAGGAAACAGCTTTTCAAAGAAATGAAACATCTGGTGAGGTGATTCTCCTGGTTATTGAAAAATTCTTGATATGTTCATGATTATATTTGATACTTAAATATCTGACCAATGTTTGAGAAGCAATTCTGTGTCTGAGAAAATCCACTATCTCATTTCTAATGAAATCTGGTTTTATTTCAGTGCACACAATATAACATATGCAGTGATCCAGATTTCCATTTTGAGGCAGTAATCATCAAATATATATGTTAGCAAATACATAAAAAATGCAAAGACAGAGATTCAATTGTTACAAACTTTAAAAAATTTTTCAAATTATATTGCAGTATTAATATTGACACAAATTTTAATAGCTATCATTTTAACTTCCAAAAATTGTTTTTAAAGTATATTTTTATTGATTTTTTCTGTGTTCTATAATAGATCTTAATGAAATATAGACCCCTCCTCAATTCACACACTTCCATACACCTACCAGATTTTCATTCATTCTGTCATATATATTAAGGTCTATCCAGTCAAGTTTAATACCCATATGTCCCTCAGTGCAAGTTAATCCACTGGAGTCTAGTCAGCCTATCTAGACTCACTCCCCTTAAAGAAGATCTTCTCTCCCTCATCCTGCACTAATCAGTTTCCAATACTTCCTCTACTAGGGCTGGGGCCTGCTGCCCATTTCCACAATTCTATGCTAGGTTTTTGTCTGATTGAGTCCGCACGAGTCTTGTGCATGCTGTCACCACTGTTGCAAGTTTATGAGCAAGTTTCTAGGGGCCAGAAAGCCTCTGTTTCCTTATGTTCTCACACCAACCCTGGATCTTATAAATCTTTCTGTCCCCTCTTCCTCAATGGTCCCTGAGCCATGGGTGAGTGAGGTTTAGTATAGGAGTTGCTTTTTATATAGGATCTCACTGTATTGTCTAATTGGTCTACAGCTTCTGAGCTCAATGACTGTACTACCTTAGACTCCTGAATGATAGAATATGCTACACACTGCATGGTTTAAAAACTAAAAATATATTATTGTTTATAGAATTTATTTCAAGAGGTTATTAGAACACATAACCAAACAATTGGACTAAATTAGCATTAAATTTCATTTCTTTCCTACAATCTTATGCAAAGATTGTGACGAATCTAGTTTATCTCGGAACTTGACCAACACTATCATGTCTAGTAGGGAATTTTAGTCCTTAAGTTCCACATACTCAACACAATCATAAAATTAGTTTTGCTTTTAGAAAAAAAAAAGAGTGACTATAAACAATAAAGCTGTCATGACAAATAACTTTTAAACAAAATCAAGGGATACGTGGAAACACATGAATTTGTTAAAAAATAACTATCATGGACACAATTCTTAAGGATATTCTTTGTTCTATATTTTTGGCATTTCCTTGTTTGTCTTTTCAAATAAGCATTTGTCTTCTTAAGAAGAGTCTTTTAAAAGAAAGGTTAAGATAGTTCAAGATCAGGCTATAGTCTAATATTATTGTTCATGAAAAAAATTTCAAAAGTTATTTTTCTAAAAATTATACATTTTCTTCATAAATTGTTTCTATACTATATTAATTTCTGCAGGTATCATAAGACTAAAACTCTGTTGCCTTTTTCAAAATTAAATATATTTTAGACCAGATTTATAATTATATGCATTTTCAAAAGAAATATTCATAAATATTAATAAATTATGCCTATCATAGCCTTATAATTTATTCTGAAACTCCTTAAATAAAAAAAGACAAAAACAATGTGATTTATTTTCTTCACATCAGATATGTTTAAATAAACACATTGTGAGGTAGGTAATTACTTTATTAAGCAAGAAATATATTAAAATCCATTCCTAGATGCTGTGGCAAATAATTTAGTCTCATCACTGATACAGGCATACAGAGGAGGTTTAGTTTTCTCCATGTGTTCTGCTTAACTCCTTCCCCACCACTTTGCACACCTGCAGTATTATAATCTTGTAAATGCAAAATTACACTGCATTCACTCCTCTGTAACTTTTCCCCAATCAAAGCAAATACAATAAAGAGTAACCATCTCCCGTGGCTAAATCCCACCAACAGCTTATCAGCTCACTGTGGTGTCATACCATCCAATAATTTCAATGCAAAATATTCTTACAAATGGGTCCTGTCGATTCTCTACACCGTGAAAATCATTAGCAAGGATAATTAACTGAGACTGTAGTGATGAATGGAGCTGCATTACTAATCAGTGTAATAAAGAGCAGAAGCCTCTAATTACAAATATACAGCCTTGAAGCTACAGAGAAATGTAATTTAATGTTGCTTC